ATTCATATCTGATAGCAAGCCCTCCTGATATTAAACAAGTGACTCAAGTGTCATGGGAAATGACAGAGGTTTTAGTGGAAGAGGAAACCTTATTGTTTATGGTTTTGGCATTGCAGAGAAAATAAGAGTGTGTAGCTGCTGGAGGTTTATCATATGGAGAAACAAGATACTGCTATCTATGATTGTGACTTGGTAACTCATATCAGATCACCCAGTGTAACTTTATATTACACCTTAAAAATTGATTATGAGTTGGATTTGATATGCAGGTATATTTCATTATCATTCATTTATCTTACCTACGTACTGTATATCCCAATGCATCCTAAACTTCTCTTTTATAAATCAATTATTTTGATTATTAACCTACAATTTAAGGGAAAAAATAAAAAACTATTTTTAAATACGAATTAAGGTATTTCTCTGTAATGCTACTACAGCTGGACTAAGATTTCCTCATGCATTGTGTTATAGAAATAATAATATTAAGTGCTATTCTGTGGGGAACTTCAATTAATTAACAAGATTATTAATGTTATTCGCTTAACCTGTAAGTGTTCATAAAGTTATGGCTGATCAGTGCAATGACCACAATGCACTCTCCTGGTCACTAAGAAAAGTGCGAAAAGACCTTTTACTGTACAACAAAATTTATAGAAAACATTTTGTATAACAATAGCTACTACTGTATATGTCAATGGCTGAGTCTCTGTACCCCATCATTTTGTAATTTAAAGGTTTAGCCCACACAAAGCTGACATTTCATTTCAATCTTCTTTTAAGAATTCTAACTGTAGATCTCCCGAGTGAAATCCCTGGTTCAAGACTGCCACCAAAAATATTTGCCCTGTTGGAGAGTCTCTCCTCTATTGCAATCTCATTAAAGTGTTACTAAACCCAGGACCATGCATTCACTATATCTGGTCTCCCACAGTGCACAGAACATGAAAATGTAATTATTTTAGTAAATATAAACGGCTAAATACCTTTTATCATCAGCAGTTAGATCAGTCTTGTGACTTCAATCAGTGTCCAGCAGAGCACTGGTTAGGCTTGTAGGAGGAGTTTTCATTCTCCCCTGATTGTCCTATGAGGCTGCATAATCCCAGACCCTCTGTCTGGACAGCACTGATTGGTCCTGTGCTGATCACATGCACTCTCCCAAGAAAAAGAAACTCTTTAGCAATACATACCAAATTGAGCATCCCAAGCCTTTGTTCTATCAGGAGATATATTGGGGACAGTAGAAGGGAAGGATCAGAGAAGACAGGATCAAACATAATTTTTTTATACAATGCAGAGGATTAACCCTTTAGGTTCCACAGTGAGTATAACAAGCATGCTTTCCTGCATATGCAGACTGGTTTTACTGTTGTGGGTTTAGTAACACTTTAATATAAAATAGTTAAAAATCTGTGAACAAGACTGAAACCTACTTGTAATGTCATGCTGCTGTTAACCTAGCCTAAAATGTCACAGTGCAGAAGTCAGTAATACTGTTTAATTTGCTCTTAAATGCTTAACACAGAAATTGGTGAATTGTTCCTTTCCTTTCTCTAATTTCTGTATTTTGTACAAGTGTGCATTGTATGATTAATTGCAGGAAGATAAAGCTACAAATCATACTATTAATTTGGAATAGTATTCAGGGCCGAAACTAGGGGAGGGATGGGGGGGCATCTGCCACAATGAGAGGGACGTCACCGTCCCCATGCTTCAGGGGACCTGTCCATATAGCCTCCCTGTAACACCTGGACAGGAGGGGCGGTGGGGGAAGCATATACAGGAACTGATCCACTCCACTTTCGTCCTGCTGCTTCTGAAAGCCAGCTTCTCCTCCCTCCCACCAGCAATCAGCAGCTGCAGGGGTAAAATCGAATGAATCAGTTGCTGTATATGCCATCCCCACTGCTCCTCCTGTCCAGGCTACTCTTATTTCTACTGCCCCCCCAGCAGCGCTCCCGCCTTTCCTCCTTCACCATCAGTTGCTGTGGGGGATAATTTCAAGATGGAGAGCGGCATGTCATTTACTGGCCTCCTTCTTTTCTGGATGAACACAGTGAGCGTTTTGTACCAATTGCGCCTGTGTCCTTTCATAACTGAAGTAAATGAGGTTACTATGCTTCAGTTTGTGAATGAAGGGGAAGCCGCTCAGAACAGAGCACTTACCATTCATTCACTGTTCGCTGAGGCTGCAGAGAAAGGGACTGGAGAATCTCTGTCCTCAAAAGTGAGATATCAGGGGTCTGTTTAGACCCCTGATATTTCACCAAAACCTTCCCAACAGGACTCCTAAAAAACTGTAAAACAAAACTAAAAATACAATATTTTCTTAATTTCAAAATAAAATTGTAAAAAATAATACAAATAAAAAAAAATACTGCACCATCCACTGCTCTATTGACTGACACCATCTGTCAGAGACCGCCTGGCGGTACCTCTAGCGATCCACAGGATAGGATTCCCCAGGGCGCGGGGTCCAAGCCCCAGTCTGCTTGTTCACCAGGGCCCCTGATGGTGGGGATGGACTTGGAGCAGACAGTGACCAGGTGGCGGCCCCTGTGGTAGAGGGATCCGCCAGAGGTATATACTGGTAGAGAGCCTGACCTGAAGAGGCGGATAGGCCTGAGCAGCGGTGACTGGATCCATACAGGATGGATGGATGGCAGGGTAGTGAAGCGTGGTCAGACAGGCCGGGTCGGTAACAGTGCGTACAGCACGGTACAAGGCAGCAGACAAAGAGTAGTCAGGTCGCCAGGTTCGGTAACAGGAGTTCAGATCAATAGGGATATCCAGAAGAGTAGTCAAACGAGCCAGGGATCAGAGCAGGAGATAGTCAGCAGAGGTCAGGATCAAGCAGGGTCGGCAACAAGTCAATCAGCAGGAACACAGAAACAGGGTAATAAGACCATACGGCAACTAGTGTCTGTACAGGGCTGGTTTAAATAGTGCGCCCTGCACTGTCATTGGTGCCAGGCGCGCATCCGCGATCACGAGTGCACATGCACGGCCGCTGCCGCAGCTGTCTAGGTCCTAGCACCTGCCGATTAGAGCGCATTGGCATTCTGCGCATGCGCAGACCCGTGCACCGCCGTGATTGCTGACATTGCCCCCCCCCCCCAACGGGCATCCTCCGGATGCCCAACTGATCTCTCCTCTGTGGGTGGTTGTGGTAAAATTCTTGGACAAGTCTAGAGGTGTCAGGGCTCCCGGGTATGACCAGAGGTATGTGAACTGACGCAGGGAAACGCAGGCTTCAGATATGATATAAACAATATAATTTATTAACACTAACAATACATAAACGCAGTGCAATACTAAAACATAACACAGTGCAAACGAACCAAACCCAACCACCCACAGATAATACATACAATGCAAGCGTCGTCAGGCAGGCCGGGTCAATAACAATCGGGCAGGTAGGAACAGGGGGTCAGGCAGAGAATGGTCGGGGTCACAAGCCAGGGATCAAACAGGAGAAGTCAGCAGAGGTCCGGATCAGGCAAGGTCAGCAACAAATCAGTCAGACAGAGACAGGGACAGTGACAGGGACAGGAATGCAGGTAACAAGATACAGGGCCCAGGAAAAAAACACACACCAAGGCAGAGACTGCAGGTCTGGCCATCCCTTAAATACACCTGCATGATCAGCTTCAGGTGTTTGGCTGGCTGCAGGGTTGAGTCTCTGATTGCTGGGAGCACCCGCTGGCCAGCCCTGGTACTGCAGCCCACAAGGCAGGTGAGTCCCACCATTACTGGCAAGTCCATTCCTGACAGTACCCCCCCCCTCAAGGAGCGGCCTCAGGACGCTCCAAACAGTCCTAGCTGGGCAAAATGTTCCACCGCCCGGGTCTGGTAACTGACGGGATATCAAAGACTGGCACATCGGGGTGGACTCCGGGCAGCGGCACACCGGGCAGGACTCCGGGCAGCGGCACACCGGGCAGAACTCCGGGCAACAGCACACCGGGCAGGACTCTGGGCCCCCAGGAGGGGCGACAGGCACCGGGCCCCCGGGCGGAGCGACAGGCATCGGGCCCCCAAGACCCCAGGAGGGGCGACAGGCATCGGGTCCCCGGGCGGAGCGACAGGCATCGGCCCCCAGGCGGGGCGGCGGGCCCCCAGGCGGAGCGGGTGGGCGCCAGGCCCCCCCCAGGAGGGAGCGGCAGGCACCAGGCCCCCAGGAGGGGCGGCAGGCACCGGGCCCCCGGGCGGAGCGACAGGCATCAGGCCCCCAGGCGGAACGGCGGGCGCCGGGACCCCAGGAGGGGCGACAGGCATCGGGCCCCCAGGCGGAGCGACAGGCATCGGGCCCCCAGGCGGAGCGGCGGGCACCAGGCCCCCAGGAGGGGTGGCAGGCATCGGGTCCCCGGGCGGAGCGACAGGCATCGGCCCCCAGGCGGGGGGCGGCGGGCCCCCAGGCGGAGTGGCGGGCGCCGGGCCCCCAGGCGGAGCGGCAGGCGCCGGACCCCCAGGAGGGACGGCAGGCACCTGGCCCCCAGGCGGAGCGGCGGGCACCGGGTCATCAGGCACGACAACGGGCATCGGGTCACCAGGCATCAGGTAATTTGGCTCGCCAGCGGGCACCGCGTCATCTGGCAAGGCAGTGGGCACCGAGTCACCAGGCACGACAGTGGGTTCTGAGTCAATTGGCACGACAGCGGGCACCGGGTCATCAGGTACCGGATCGCCTGGATCGACAGCGGGCACCGGGTCATCTGGCGTTGGATCGTCTGGCTCGACAGCGGGCATCGGGTCACCAGGCATGACAGCGGGCACTGGGTCACCAGGCATCAGGTCATTTGGCTCGCCAGCGGGCACCGCGTCATCTGGCAAGGCAGTGGGCACCGAGTCACCAGGCATGACAGTGGGCTCCGCGTCAATTGGCATGACCGCGGGCACTGGGTCAGACATTGGATCGTCTGGCCCGACAGCGGGCATTGGGTCACCAGGCATGACAGCGGGCACTGGGTCATCAGGCATGGGATCGTCTGGCTCGACAGCGGGCATCGGGTCACCAGGCATGACAGCGGGCACTGGGTCATCAGGCATGGGATCGTCTGGCTCGACAGCGGGCATTGGGTCACCAGGTATGACAGCGGGCACTGGGTCACCAGGCATCAGGTCATTTGGCTCGCCAGCGGGCACCGCGTCATCTGGCAAGGCAGTGGGCACCGAGTCACCAGGCACGACAGTGGGCTCCGAGTCAACTGGCATGACCGCGGGCACTGGGTCAGACATTGGATCGTCTGGCCACAGTGGGCATCGGGTCACCAGCCATGACAGCGGGCACGGGGTCATCAGGCATTGGATCGTCTGGCTCGACAGCAGGCATCAGGTCAACTGGCCTAATGGAATCATCAGGCTGGATCAGTTCATCAGGCTGGGTAGAAACACCATGCTGGGTAGAGACATCAGGGCTGAATGGAGGAATCAGGCTGAATGGGGCATCAGGCTGAATGGAGGCATCAGGCTGAATGGAGGCATCAGGCTGGGTATGGAGGCATCAGGCTGGGTAGAGGCATCAGGCTGGGTAGAGGCATCAGGCTAGGCAGAGGCATCAGGCTGAATTGTGGGCGCCGAGGCACCAGGCTGCACCACGGAAGGCAGGTTCTCAGATGGGAGGCTGACCGGTTTGGATACTGGCAGGATGGTATTGGTTGGAAAAGACCTTTCGCCTTTTCCTGGTTTTAGTTACCGGAGCACTGTAAGTAAGCGCAGGTTTGTAAACGGATGGAGCAGCTGGAGACAGAGGAGAGCTGGAGGATGGAACAGGGGAGGGAACAGTTGCTACAGAGGACTTCTTTACAAGGTTAAAGGCAGGATAGGTGCAGCGAGTGGGAACAGGGTATTGACATGCGGTAGATAGCAGGGTATACTGGGCTGTAACTGGAGGTGCTGTTGGGAATGCAGGAATAGAGCTTTGAAGAAATAGATTAGAAGCAGGACTGGGTTTTTGCAAGCTGACTGAGGCTGGGTGTAACAAGTCTGACCATGTCTGCAGTATGGGTTGAACAAAGCTCCGCTTACACAAAGCCTGTCTGGTCAAAGACTGCACTGCGTTTATACAATCCCTTAATACCTGTGGTGAACATGCAGCATAATGCTCCAAGAAGCAATCCACATCATCCTCTAATAACCATACCAGGGACTCTACCTGGTCTGCACTAAATGGTGGCAAAAAGTCATTCCTGCTTTCAGGGGTACCAGATGAAGCCAACTCTACACAAACCTGAATCAAAGGTTGCACCTCAGAGAACTCTGTGCCCTGATCTACTAGAACATGAGCGATCCGTATACATTCTAGCAGTTGATCCCGGGTATACTCCCTCAGAGCCTGATAAGCATATTCTCTGTCATCAAAAACCAGCAGCGACAAATACACAACCTCATCAAGATCCATCCTTCCCAGCAACAAGCCTGTGCAGCCACTTCTGGTCAGGATTGGCCTTGGTGTAATGTCAGGGCTCCCGGGTATTACCAGAGGTATGTGAACTGACGCAGGGAAACGCAGGCTTCAGATATGATATAAACAATATAATTTATTAACACAAACAATACATAAATGCAGTGCAATACTAAAACATAACACAGTGCAAACGAACCAAACCCAACCACCCACAGATAATACATACAATACAAGCGTCGTCAGGCAGGCCGGGTCAATAACAATCGGGCAGGTAGGAACAGGGGGTCAGGCAGAGAATGGTCGGGGTCACAAGCCAGGGATCAAACAGGAGAAGTCAGCAGAGGTCCGGATCAGGCAGGGTCAGCAACGATTCAGTCAGACAGAGACAGGGACAGGGACAGGGACAGGGACAGGGATGCAGGTAACAAGATACAGGGCCCAGGATAAAACACACACCAAGGCAGAGACTGCAGGTCTGGCCATCCCTTAAATACACCTGCATGATCAGCTTCAGGTGTTTGGCTGGCTGCAGGGTTGAGTCTCTGATTGCTGGGAGCACCCGCTGGCCAGCCCTGGTACTGCAGCCCACAAGGCAGGTGAGTCCCAACATTACTGGCAAGTCCATTCCTGACAAGAGGTGTGAACATTTTGGGCTGGCTCTCATGAATTCTCCTCCGGACCATAACCTTTCCACTTAATAAGGAATTGCGTCTGGGTGCCCTTTTTCCTGCAATCTATGATTGCTTCTACCTCAAATTCTTCTTGTTCGTCAATGGTTACGGCCTCCGGGGGTGTGGACCTCCGATCTGGGAAGAGATCTGGCGTTGCTGGCTTTAGTAACGACACGTGGAAGACCGGATGAATCTTAAAGGTTTCAGGAAGTGTAAGTTCATAAGTCACTTCATTGATTTTCCGTTTCTTCTGGAATGGACCCATATACTTTGGCCCCAGTTTCTTAGAAGGGCATGACATCTTTAGGTTAGTCGTTGCTAACCAGACCTGATCCCCGGTTGCAGGATTAGTTCACCTCTTCTTCTGTCGAAAGCCCTTTTACTGTTCCCCTGGGAAAATTGCTTCTTGTAGCACCTTGTTGGCAGAAAAAAAATTCAGCATATCCTGTGTAGCAGGACTTGGGCTTTCTGGGATCAGATCAGGCAAGAACGTGGGATGGAACCCGTAATTCATGAAAAATGGGGATTGCACAGTAGCAGAATGATTTGTGTTATTGTACGCAAATGCAGCTAACGGCAAGAGCGCCAGCCAGTCGTCCTTGAGAAACGACGTATAGCATCTTAGATACTGTTCCAAAGTCTGGTTCGTCCTTTCAGTTTGCCCATTTGTCTGTGGGTGGTATGCAGATGAGAAAGAAAGTCTGATTCCTAAGACTTCACATAGAGCTCTCCAGAATTTCGATGTAAACTGGACTCCCCGGTCTGAGACAATGTCTTCTGGAATCCCATGAAGTCTTACAACTTCCTTCACAAAGATTTGTGCCGTTTCCAGAGCCGAGGGCGTGTTCTTTAATGGTAGAAAATGGGCCATTTTTGACAGGCGATCCACGATTACAAAAATGGCTGAGTGATTTTGAGAGGGTGGGAGCTCCAATACAATATCTATGGAGATCATTTGCCATGGCCGGTCAGGTATGGGCAATGGTCGTAGTAAACCCCAGGCCTTGCTTCTGGTGGGCTTGTTCCTCTGACAAGTGACGCAGGTCTTCACGTACAGTTCGCAATCCTTGACCATACTCGGCCACCAGAATGTACGCCGTAGTAATTCTAGGGTCCTATATGCTCCAAAATGACCTGCCAGTGGATGGTCATGGCAGTAGCCCAGAACTAAGGTACCACGATCTGCCCCTCTTTCCAAAAAAGACCCTCCTTGCTCTGTAGGGAAACCCCGGGTGGGTTTGGCATTCCTATGGATGCGGTCTGTAACCTGGAGTGTAGCTCGGTTTGGAGAGCAAGAAAATTTCCTGTGGACAGAATGGTGTCTGGTTTAGGGACTTCTTCCGGATCTTTGAACATGCACGAGAGAGTATTGGGCTTTGTACTCTTGGACCCAGGTCTTTACGTTATATGGAACACGAATCTAGAAAAGAAAAGTGTCCATCTAGCCTGGCGTGGTCTCAGGCGCTTGGCTGTCCTCAAGAACTCTAAGTTTTTGTGATCTGTGAAGATCAAAATTGGATGCGTAGCCCCCTCCAGATGGTACCTCCACTCTTCCAGCGCCGCCGTCTTGATAGTCAAGAGTTCTCGGTCCCCTATGTCATAGTTCCTTTCTGCTGACGTGAGTTTCCTTGAAAAGAACGCTACTGGATGCATGAGTTCTTTGGTACCCTTTCTCTGGGACAGGATGGCCCCCACTGCGTTCTCAGACACATCGACCTCCAATATATAGGGTAAAGAGGAATCTGGGTGGCTTAGAATAGGGGCTGTAGTAAATAGCTCCTTCAGGGCCTCAAATGCCGCCTGTGCTTCAGGTGTCCACTGGAAACGGACCCCCTGCTTGGTGAGCTGGGTAATGGGAGACACGAGACCTGAAAAGTTTCTAATGAACTTCCTGTAGAAGTTAGCAAAACCTATGAAGCGTTGCACGCCCTTCTTGTCAGTTGGTACTGGCCACTCCAAAATTGCAGAGATTTTCTGGGGGTCCATTGCAACCCCCGTGGTGGAGATGATCAGCCCCAAGAAAGCGATGCTGTGCTGCTCAAAGCTGCATTTGTCCACCTTAGCATACAATCCGTGTTGGCGTAGACGCTCCAGCACGCTTTTGACATGACCCCTATAGGTTTCCAGGGAAGAGGAGAAGATCAGAATATCATCTAAATAGATGACCACAAAAATGTCCAGATAATCTCCAAATACATAATTTATAAAGTGCTGGAATGTGGCTGGGGCATTGCAGTCCCAATGGCATGACCAGGTACTCGAAGTGCCCAAACCTAGTACGAAATGCGGTTTTCCACTCATCCCCCTCCCTTATGCGGACCAGGTTATACACGCCCCTCAAGTCTAACTTGGTGAACAACACTGCTGACTTTAATCTTTGGAACAGCTCTGGAACCAAAGGGAGTGGGTAACGATTTTTTACCGTGATCTTGTTTAACTCCCGGTAGTCTATACAGGGCCTTAGGGATTTATCCTTTTTTTAACAAAAATTCCAGCTCCGGCTGGTGTTGTGGAGGGGCGAATGAACCCTTTTTGGAGGTTTTCGTTAATGTACTCTTTCAGTACCCCCAGTTCCCGCTCAGATAGAGGGAATATCTGCCCGAAAGGGATCTCAGATCCTGGTAGAAGGTCGATTGGACAGTCATAAGTTCGATGTGGAGGAAGAATGTCTGCCCCTCGTTTACTAAACACGTCAAGGTAGCTGTGGTAGGCTGGGGGAATGACTTGGATTAGTTCTGAGTCTCTGTCTACACATCGGAGGGACTAGGGAGACGAGGAGGTTTGGGCGTAACAATGCTCCTGGCAGTAAGGTGATTGAAACTGGATAGACCCGGTCTTCCAATTAATCTGGGGATTATGTGCACGCAACCAGGGAAGCCCCAGAATAATTGGAAACAAAGGGGATGCAATGGCATCCAGACGAAGGAACTCCCGATGGTGGCCAGCCACCGTAGCGCAGATAGGCGGGCTTTCCCGGTCTACTAACCCTGATTTAAAGCGCGACCCATCAGCTAAAAAGATGTTCAACCCATGTTCCCTTGTCTGGAGGGGGATCTTCTGTTGGGTTGCAAAGTCTATGTCAACAAAACAACTACATGCTCCAGAATCAACGATTGCTGTCGCTAACACGGTTCTTCCTGGAAGCTGGAAAGAAACAGGCACGGCTAAGTAGTTTGAATTATTGGCACAGTCAGAGGACACAGTGGAAAAAACAGAAGCACACTTACTCAGTTTTGCTTGGCAAGAACGTACCAC